AATACTAATGGAAGTATAGATTAATTTCCGTTACAGGGAAGGGTGGGGTGGGGGTGGGGTGGGGGGCTGGAGTGGTTTGTTATTATTGTTACTGTTAATGTTTTGCGGTTGATTTTACCATTAGCATTATTGCTCTATTAGTTAGAGTGATTATTGTCATTGTGACTGCCATCGTCATTGTCTATGTCAGTTCAGTATCATTATTATGCTTCAGTGTCAGTGTCATTGTAATTATCACTTTCATATTCATTTTTATTTCCACTTTTTCTTTCACTTTCTGTTTCTGTTTCTTGTCTCTGTCGCGTCTCTCTTGCAGCTTCACTCCCTTTATCATTGTCGTTGTCATTGCCATAGCATAGGCATTTCCATTGCCAGTTGCATTACCATTGTCATCATCATTGTTTTTTTGCTGCTAGTGTTATGATGGCAATAATATGATAATGATTCTACTACTACTACTACTACTACTGCTGCTGCTTATGACTACTACTTTTACAACAACAACAATAACTACTACTACTGCTGTTGCTACAGGTGCTGCTGCTACACCTACTACTATTACTACTGCTACTTCTACTACTACACAACACCTACTACTACTACTACTACTACTGCTACTACTACTGCTACAATTTCTACTACTACTACTATTACTGCTGCTACTGACAAAAAAACTCAATATATCATAACAGTAACTATAACAACAAAAGCCAATAAGATAACAGCAGCACAAGCGGAAGGAGCAGCAGATAAAACGAAAACATTCCAACTCTGCTTCATTACCGACGAAAAGGAAGATAAAGTCAATTGACAGAATTCCTTGTCACTGGAATTCGCAACGCTGTCACGTCCCTGTCACTTGGCAACACTGGCCCATTGTTAATCCCAAAAAGGAGACTCAGTTGCATCAGGAATTGGCAACAGTGTACGATTGCATCCATTTTCTCTGCAATTATATTCGGCATCGATGTTTGTGAGGAAAGTATGCCTGGCGCGTTAAGGTCAAAATCCCCTGCGCAGTTACAAGACTAATGGTCTTTGGGATCGATCGCTTGTTATATGGTTATTTCCGTGCATCTATCTGCCTGGCTGCATATCCATTCGTCTGTCTGTCTGTAGAACAGGTATGAATTTGTCAATATGACGCATCCTCTGTTTGCCTATTGGTACATTTCTCATATATCTGTTGGTTCGTCTATCTATCTCTTTATATCCTTATCTGTTCTTTTCTTTCTTCTCTTTTCCTCTTTCTCTCCCTCTCTTTCTCTCTCCTCCTTCCGTTATCAGACTCTCCTTGTTGTTTCTTCTTCCTTAGACTTCTCCGTATCTCTCTCTTCCTCTCCTCCTCTTCTCTGTTTCCGCGTTATCTTATTTCTTTCTTTTTCCTCTATTCCCTCTTTCTGTCTCTCTGTTCCTCCTAATCCTCTTCTGCATCCTTTCTGCCTCTCTCTCTCTCTCTCTCTCTCTCCTCTCTCTCTCTCTCTCTCTCTCTCTCTCTCTCTTCTCTCTCTTCTCTCTCTCTCTCTCTCTCCTTCTCTCTCTCTCTCTCTCTCTCTCTCTCTCTCTCTCTCTCTCTCTCTCTCTCTCTCTCTCTATATATATATATATATATATATATATATATATATACATATATAAATTATATCCATATCTTTTCTATTTACTCTCTTTCTTGTCACTCTCTTCCTGTCTTCCCTTTCTCTTCTCTTCTCTTCATTCACTTCCTCACATCCTCCCTTACCCCTTTCTTCTTTTATTTCCCTCTTTCCTCTTCTATATTCTTTCTCTTCTCTATTCCCTTTTCCTTCCTGATTTCCTTTCCCTTTTTTCTTTCTCCTCCTCCTTCTGCCTCTTCTCTTTCTCCTATATCCCTTTTCCTACCTATTTCTCATCTTCCTTTCCATACCCCTCTCTCCTGTCCATTTTCTCCTCTCCTTCACTTCTTCCTCCCCACTTTCTCATCTTCCTTCCCATGCCCCTGTCTCCTCTTCTTTCCATACCCCTTTCTCCTCCTTTCCATACCCCTTTCCTCTCTTTCCCATACCCCTTTCTCCTCTCCTTCCCATACCCCTTTCCCCTCTTCATTCTCTCTTCTTCCTTTCCATACCCCTTCCTCCTCTTTCATTCTCTTCTCCTTCCCATACCCCTTTCCCCTCTTCATTTTCTCTTCTTCCTTCCCATACCCCTTTCCCCTCTTCATTTTCATACTTCTTCCTTCCCATACCTCTTTCCCCTTTTCATTTTTCTACTTCATTCTCTCTTCTTCCTTCCCATACCCCTTTCCCCTCTTCATTTTCTCTTCTTCCTTCCCATATCTCCCTCCTCTTCCTCGCCTCCTTCCCCCCAGCGGATCGAAGCATCAGTTACTTCAATAAGCCTGAAAACGTCGCCAACATATATGTAAAAAAGCCAGCTAGTCTTTGGTTAGGCAAATATCGTTTTCCAATAACCAATTATGGCTTTCCTCTTATTCCCTTCACACTGCGCCTCGTGTTACCTCATTTTTTTTCTCTCTCTGCCGGGTCTCTTTCTCCCTCTCCCGCTCTCTTCTTATTACATGTTATTTTCCTCTTTCGTATTATGGGATTTCTACTTCATTTCTGTTTCCTTTTATATGTTTTTTGATCTTTACTCTTGTATGGTTTTGCCATTTCCTCTATAAGGTTTATTCTCCTTACTCAACTCCGTTTATCAGCCTTCATCTGATTTCTTCTCGTTTCTTTCATTTGCTCTCTCGTATCTTCTTAAATTCTCTTACCTCTTCTACTCTATCTTGTATTTCGTAATACTCTCTTGTAAAAACTCAAACGGCCGGTTTGTTAACACTGTGCCAGGCCCGACCCAACGATCATTCGTATAAAGAGACATCCATATACACAGAAATAAAGGAATATCTATCGATCTATTAGATAAATATACATTTATTTTTTTCTATCTGCACGGTAGATATGCATTTCTAGACTGGTAGATATGCATTTATTTCTGTGTATGTGCATGTCCGTGTAATGAGTGTCTATTAGGTCGGGTCTAGCACAATTAAAAAAAAAAAAAATGGCCGTTTGTCAGGGAAAAAACATTCTTGTGATCACCTGGCAACAACGTTGTTTATGTCGTGCTGTTGTGTGACTGTCTTCTCACGGACCCCGCATACTTAACCTCACGCGTACGCAGGTGTACACACAAACACACATGCTCGCAGAAGCACACGTATTCTTAAAATAAAACATACAAGTGCAAGCACAAACACAAGCTTACTTAAAGGCAAAAAGATACACGTGCACAAACACGCATTCTTCAAACAAAATCGCATTCACGAAAAGGATAGATGCATAAAAACAAACATGTGTGCGTTTTTGCTTTTGATTATGCGTATCTATGTGTGTTGAGTGTTAAAGAACGTATTTGCATGCATACGCGAGAAGAGACACGATAGACTCCATTGTGCCAGTGATCAACAGAAAATATTAATGCTGACTTTAGGTAGATGCACATACATGTTTGAAGAAATACACACACGTGGACGTACATGTATAAACATACACTAGATTTGTTCCTGTGAAAAAATATAAAGATGATAGGCTGTGGTGTTAACTTGCGAGTCTTCATACTGCTCTAGACAACAAAGACAACATTTACAATCACAGTGTTAAGCGATGGAAATGACGATGGCAATGATTTGATGAAGATAGTGAAATAAGAAAAACAACATTAAAACAGCCAACAAACAAGATACAAATAACATACATTATTCATAACATCAACAAAAAGCGTTTATGATAACAACAGCAAAAATAATGCTAACAACATAAAACAAGAAAGGGCTATCTTATCGGGCAAGTTCTCATAAAATCGCACAACAGTTCATCATAATTTGATAAGTCTAACACAATTTCCAGGCAAACTCTTGCATTCGGTTATTTCCCACCATGCGCCATCATCTATTGTCTATGCATTTCTGTTTTCCTTCCTTCTTGACCCCATTTCCTGACCTCATTGGCAAGGAGGAAAATGCATTTGACCTTTCCTGACTTCATTTTGCTCTTCTTGATGTTGTTTCTACCCTTTTGGTGTTTATCATTATGGCTGCTGTTTGCTCGTTGACACACACACACACACACACACACACACACACACACACACACACACACACACACATACACACACACATGTGTATTTCCTAGTAAGCTGCCTTCCATATTTTCTCTATTGTAATTTCTCATTATCTCTATCTGTATCTATCTCCCCCTCTCCCCCCCTCTCTCTCTCTTCCTATTCCACCTTCTCCTTTCACATCTTCCTCTCTCGGGTGTCCTAAAGGAAACGAAATGAAACAGGCGGGACGGCAGTGAAGCAAGGTAGACAGGGAGAAGGATGCTAAGGATAGAGCCGCTAGGAGAGGGGGAGAAGAGGAGGACCAGAGAAGAGGTTAATAGATGCGACGAGGGAAGAGAAGCAGGCGTGATTGGGGTGACAGAAGAGAAGTCAGAGGACAGACCACGGGCGAGATGCGGCCACATTCTAGTAACAATAATGATTCCATTATTGCTAGTGTTGATATTATTGTTATTGATATCATTATTATCATTGTTATTGATAGGACCATTATCATCATCTTCATCATCATCATCATCATCATCATCATAATGAAGAGGATGATGATTACTATAATTACCACAATTACCATTATCACAAGTTTCCATCTTTATCCTTGCCATCATTACGAGTTATCATTATCCTTACTTTCCAACAGACTTCTAATCTGCCCTTTTCCCCCTGTTCTAATCGCTCCCTCCTCTCTTCCCTCCTTCAGAATCCTCACGCACCTCGACCCCAAAGTCATGTGGCCGACTGTCGGCTGCCTCCTCTTCTTCTGCTTCTGCTTCCTCGTCTGCTGCGTCTTCTGCTGGAGCGACAAGTGCTCCAAGAAGAGGGGGAAGAAGGTAAGAGAGGGAGATGGGGGTAAAGGAAGGAGGGGGAAAAAGGAATGGTGAGAGGGAGAGGAAGGGAGAGAGGAGACAGGAGAGGGAGAGGGAGAGGGAGAGAGAGAGAGAGAGAGAGAGAGAGAGAGAGAGAGAGAGAGAGAAGAGAAGAGAGGAGAGCGAGAGCGAGAGCGAGAGCAGAGAGCGGAGCGAGGAGGGAGAGCGAGAGCGAGGCGAGAGCGAAGAGAGAGAGAGAGAGGAGAGAGAGAGATGAGAGAGAGAGGAGAGAGAGAGAGAGAGAGAGAGAGAAGAGAGAGAGAGATAGAGAGAGAGAAAGGAGAAAGGGAAGAGAGAGCATGGAAGATAGCAGAGAGAGAGAGAGATGATAGAAGAGAAGAAGAAAAAGAAAAAAGGGAGAGAAGAAGAGAAGAGAGAGAAGGAGGAGAAGAAAAAAGAGAGAGAGAATTATCATCATTATTGATACATTACCAGTATATACCTTTTTTGATTATTCACTGAGTATTGAATGTTGATATCATAATTATTATTACTAATCATTATCATAAATCTGCCTGATTATAACATAAAATAATGACAATAATAATGATGATAATTACAATGATAAATGATAGCAATGAAAAGGTAATAATGAATAATGATAGCAGTAATATATTAATTATCATCATCATCACTATCATCATTACCATTGTTGTGATTACCATTATTACAATTAACATTATCATTAATCATCAATATCAATGCATTATTACTATTATTATGACTGCCGTTGTCCTTATCATTTCACTAAGTAGTAGTTCCTTATCATTCATTTATTATTAGTATAGTTATATTATAATATCATTAATTATTATTATCATTATATTATTATTATATCATCATTATATATTATTATTATCATCATTATTATCATTATTATTAATTGCATTATTATGTTCATTATTATTATTATCATTATTCATTAGTATTATGATTATCACTATTATAATCCACACTTTACTGTCATCGTCATTATCATTATCTTCATCATCGTCATTCCTTGCGAGTTTCATCCTCATGACCATGATTTTAAGAGTGTAATGGCATTTTATAGAAATTTATTATATCCATTGAAAGCAACTCCATCATTTATACAAGTTTCGAAATAACAGCACACAAAAGTCCTTAATCCGCTGATTCGAGAGTCTGATAATGGACGCCCATGGATTAGGCTTATCATTACGTTGTCATTAAGCATAATAAGTTCGAAATGAACTGCATATGACTGCGTTTTCTTGTTTAGTTCGTGAAATTTAGTCATAGATATTATTGAATCAAGGATAATTGGTCGCTATATATGTCGTCAGGAGCGGTATTATCTTCATTAATATCATTGCCATTAGTGTTATTACCAACAAGATGATCTTCCCCGCACTCTTTTTACGATTAACAACATGGTCATCACTTTCACCACTGGTAACATCAGCATCATTAACAATATCATTATAAAAATATAATTAGCACTGTCATTTCTAAAGTCATTACCACCAATCTCATTTCCATTAAGATCATCATCAGCATCATCACCATTTGAAAGCATCATTGCTATTAAAACCACAGTCACCTTCACCACCAACCGCTGTTAACATCATCCTCTTCACCAACACCGCTATCACCATTAATTTCATTGGTACAAGTATAATCATGGACATTTTAAAAGCATTAACCTCATCATCATCACCACTGCTAGCATCATCACCACATCATCACTTCATTCCCGCAATCTCTAGAATCAGCACCAGCATCAATTATCACTGGCACTCGCATCCCCGCCAACATCATTTCTCGCCCGCCCCACCAATACACTCACCACCACCATCGTCCCCACACCCTCACCACCACTTCCCAGCCTCACCACTACCCCCTCCCCCGGCCGCTCCACTAATGCACTCTCCACCACCACCCCCTCTCTCACCCTCCCTCCCTCCCCTCAGAACCAGGACCCGAACTCCGACAAGCAGCCAGCGCTTGAGATGACGTCATTCTCCACCCCGGACGATCACGTGACCATGGAGGGTCCGCCGCTCCCCTCTGCCCCCCACCCGGTCCCTTTCCCCCTCGTACCCGCCCTACCCGGGGTGCCCCCTCCCCTGCCCCCCTGCTCATGCACCGGCCCAGGTAAGTTGGAGGAAAAAGATTGATTTTTTTTTTTTTTTTTGCTTTTGGCGCTTGTGTCTGTTTCTTTTCCTCTCTTTCTCTCCCTCCTTTATACTGACTCGGTTACTTTATTTGCCTCTTTTTCTCGAACTCTCTCCCTCTTCCTCTTTCATAATCTCTTACAAAGTATATTTGTGTTTGTCTTTTTTTTTTCTCTTAAACTTTCAATTTATTATGTCTCTCACTTACTCTTTTTATGTCTGTCTTTCTTTCTCATACTGTCTCTCTTCCTATCTCTTAATCCCTCTCACTTGCCCTGTTTATCTGTCTGTCTCTCTCTCTTTCATACTATCTCTGTCTCATAATGTCTCCTGTTTGGCGAGTCTCCCCGTCTTCTCAGAGTACTCATTTTTACTTTCATTTGTTT